AGGGTGGGAGGGTGTGTGTGATGTGAAGTGCCGAGGAATTCGCCAGGCGCTGGCGGGTGGCGAGTGGGCACCTGGCATTTTTTTGAATTTGAGTTTCCTGCACTGCCGCCGTGCATTTCACCAGGCCCAGCAACTCGGTTACATGGCAGTCTGTGTGTGCGGATGCATGTATGCATGTATGATGTGTGAAACAGGGGGGTGTATCTTCGCCCGTGGCAGCTACCCTGCGAAACCCTGCCTTCCCCGGTATTTCGGGGCACCCTCATCCAGTCTCCCTAGTCAACTTCTCAGTGGATCGCTCAGGTTCCGCACCCACCACCAGCACCCAACGGAATCTGCCGGGTCGACAGCGGCCCAACTCCATTCCTGGTCGGCTCGCATGTTAACTTTGTCCCAGGTCACCACCGTCCATCAACTAGGGGCGCAATGCCTTCCACCATCGGAAGGACTTTTGACACTAATGGGTATTTATCCCGGGATCTCCCGGGGCAATGGTCGCGCCTTACCAGTAGTGCCAAACCCTGTATATGTATGTATGTATGCATGTATATATGTGCAATTGAGGAAGGAAAACAAGCAAAACACATGCGTACTACTACTACTGCCAAAGGCGGGAAGGAGGGGAAAACAAAGGGTTCTGTTGCGTCATGAAGCCATCAGCTTCACAGGCAAGGCACACACATCCATGCACACATAATACAGGCATACAGACATATGAACATACAGACTTACAAACATATTCAAACCCCTAAAACCCATCGCACAACACCACATATACCCCGTGTCGTCCCCCCCTTCGCCCCCCCCGACCCACCGGTCAGTAACGACAGGCGGCTCAGGCAAGTGCCACCCGCATCAGACAATGCCGTACAACTGCTCGCATCCAGCCTCGCCAAACCACGCAGTGCGCTGCACAGCAAACCCAGGCCACGGTCATCTAGTGCCGTACAACAACTCAGCGTTAGCGACGCCAGGCGGGTTCCGGAGCGGCGGCCGGCAAAGGCGGCGAAGCCGGCGCCAGTGACCCTAGGGCCGGCGTACGACAGGTCAAGGAGCTCCAGCCGCCGCAGCGGTGCCAGTGCCGCGACGCCGCTGTCGGTGACGGCGGGGCAGTTCTTGAGGACGAGCTGGGACAGGTTCCGGAGCGGCGCGAGGGCTGAGAGGCCGGCGTCCGAGATTCGGTGACAGTTGCTCAAATTTAGAACCTAATTAGGGTACGGATTTAGTTCAATTCCGTTGTTTTTAGTTGGATTTGGTTGAGTTGGTTGGTTGCGAGGGTAATCACGTGGAGGTTATCTAATCAACAACAACATCAATTAACGTTGCTGCTGCTGTTGCTACTGCCGGTGCTACTACTTAGCTGCCCTTACCGGCTGGCGGGAAGGGGGGACGGTTTTAGGGTTTTAGAGTTTTAAGGAAACTTGCAAAACTGTGGATGCAATTGCGGGGATAAGACAGCCCCTCGGTAGAAAACTAGGACAGGACAGGACAGGTTTATGCCGCAAGGGGAAGCAGTGTACGGCGCTCAAGAAGGTAGTTGGAGGGGTAGGTGGAGAAAGATACGAACTTGGCGGCGTTCACCGCGAACCACTCAATCACTTAACTGTGGGTGGTGAAACGACCTAACAAACAGAATGAGGCCTTTCTAATAGGCCTTTACTATAAAGTGAAAATTTTTCGTAATGTACGGTGCGCATGCCGTACATCCCCCCCCCCCCTCCGCCCGTCCTCAATCGAGCTGCAACTGCACCACCTGTAGCTCCTGAAGCGCCGCCGCCACCGCCTCCAGCCCGGCATCTGTGATTCGCGTGCACCGCGGCAGTAGCAACGTCCGCAACCCCACGGCAGCCTGCGCTACAGCCGCCAATGCGCCGTCGTCCAATTGTACGGCCCCCGACACGTCCAGGTACTGCAGCTGACGGAGCGACGCCAGCGGCGCCACCTCCGCCGCCGCCGCCGCCGCCGCCACCAAGCCCGCCGAAGCCGATGAGCCGCCGAAACGACTACCCCGAGGTGTGCAGTCATTGTTGCTGCCACGGCTGTAGCTGGAACGTACGGATGAGGCGGCGTCGAAGGTACGGCACCACGTGCTGCTGCCATCCCCCGTCGTCCGAGTGCTGCTTCCGGAAGCCAAAGGGGCCCCAACAGCGCTCCAAAATGAACTCGTGTATCCAACTAAAGACAGAGAGGTGAGCCACGTGAGGCGGCCCAGGCTCCGCAACGTCGCGGGACCAAGGCCCACGGGAGTTTCGGAGCCCGCCGCCGCCGCCGCCGCCGCGGCGCCGGGGGCGGCGGGCCCCAGCCCCGGCCCAGATAGTATTCCTGGAGATGGCGGCGGCTGCAGCCCCAGGAAACCGCCGAGGCCTAGACAGGTTAGTCTTCCGCCGCCGCCGCCGCCGCCGCCGTCGCCGTCGCCGTCGCCACCATTGCCGTCGCCGTCGGCACCGGTAGACTGCAGTACAGATGACGGCCAGGCGGTGACGCTGGCCTGCGCCGGCAGCGCACACAGCCGCGCGACGTCCTCGTCGGAAAGCTCCAGGGACGGGTTGTACAACATGATCAGCTCCCGCAATCCGCCACCGCCGCTGTCGGCACCGTTGCGGTAGCCCTGCCGCGCCACCGCCGCCGCCGCCACCGACGCCATGCAGTCTCTCGTCACGCCGGGGCCGCAGCCGCGCAACTCCAGCGCCGTCAGCGCCGTCAGTGCCGCCACCAGCGCCGCCACGCCGCCGCCTGTGATGTCCTGCAGCCCCAGTAGCGTCAACGCCGCCAGGCGGGGACACCCCGCCGCCAGCGCCGCCAGGCCGGCGTCACTGACACGTACGGCGGCGGCGGCGGCGATGCCGCCGCCGCCTAGCGCCACGTGCGTCAGGTCCAGGTCCGCCGCCAGGGCGGCGAGCGTGTCGTCGGTGACGGCGGCGCGGGCGACGCCCAAGTACGACAAGTCGATCGAGCGAAGCGAGGAAATGGCTGTGAGGCCCAGCACACCCGCTTCGCTCACCAAGGGGCAGCCGGAAATGCCCAGATGTGTGAGACGGGGCAGTACGGCAAGAGCGCGGAGGCCAGCATTAGAGACCTGCGCGGCCGTACAGGTGTGGCGCGCGGTGTGTACGGCTCGTCGCTCTTTCGCGAGGAAGGGTGTACAACAGTAACAGTGCGGAGGGAACGACAACATTACCTGCTGCTCACAATTCAAATTCATCAAATGGATTTCCTAATTTTCCTTCTGTGCATTCCTCTAAGCTCCCCCTAACCCCCGTTGTGGTGTGTTTTGCCGTACCTTTGTCTCTTCATAACGCAGGTGCTCATCCCCAAGCTTCCCAACTACTTTGGGCTGTGCGGCCGCCATAGTCCGCAACTGAAGCCGCCACATCAGCGTTACCCCACGTACTGACTACCAACTAACCAACCAACCAACCAACCACCTACTTTCAGGCACCATGCCAACTCCAGTCGTGCCAGCGCGGGCAGCCTCGCCAGCATCATAACGCCCACATCCGTAACGCTCACGCAGCCAGTCAAGTCCAGGGAGGTCAGAGAAGCCAGCTGGGCTACTGACATCAAACCTGGGGGGAGGGCGGGGGAGGGGGGGGGAGGGGGAGGGGGAGAGAGAAAGACGGGGGGAACAATGGCTTCGTGTGTGTTTACCTTGTGTTATTTTGGAACATGTCTTCCTGGAATATATGTCGTACAGGGGCAAAGAAAATGCGAAAATCAACAAAGTCTCGCCTCCAGGGGCCACCATCAGTATCGTCAGGGGCTCGTCCTCCCCGTACCTCACTCCTCCTGGCGCTCGAGTAGTCGTCTTCCCCCGGACCCCACCCCCCCGGACCCCACCCCCCCGGACCCCACCCCCCCGGACCCCA